ACCCTCACCCTCCAGGGCGACAAGTACATCTTGATGGCTGCTGTTCAGCAACGCGAGTGTTGTTTTCAAAGGGTTTTCTGAGTCTGGCTCGGCTGAAGTTGAAGTGTGCCCAGGCAGAGCAAATGGTTTTTTGACACCTTCCCTTGCAGCCAAAGATGCAACTAGCCCGATTTCACGATAACGTTCAAACTCATCATGTGTCAATTCATGATACATTTGGCTGAATCGTCCCAATGACCTTCGGTTCAACTGCACTCCCTTGGCCACATCTGCCAAGAAAGCATGCCAAGGTCCCCCGTGCCCTGAACCACCACGCTTTTTGGGATTTGGTGTGTTTCCTGATGTCTGTTTTCTCTTCCGACCTCTTGGTTCGGTGGGCAATGGATCCTCTGTTTCGCCGCTTGAATTTCTTGACCCTGAAGTTGCTTTCAATAACTTCCCGATGAACCTACAAAGTAGCATGGCGCTTACATCAACCAGATTTGTGAAGTGCCCCCGTCCTCTCTGCAGAGTGTACTCACGCACTGTTGCGTGTCCACATTCTATCCGGCTGATGTCCACTTCAGCTGAAAGTGCTAAGCTCTCAATGACAGCCCTTGCCTGAACTTTTTGTCCATCTGCTACAGTTGGAAACTGTTGAATGAAAGCATGGGTCAGCTCATCACGCATGCACTGAGGTATTGAATGCACATGCGGTGCTTGCTCGAGGTCCAGCAATCGAAACAGTTGAAATGGAAATCCTTCGGGGTGAAACAACAACAAGGGTCGATTTTCTCTGTCTACATTCCACATGTTCCATGTACATATCCACCAACCCTTGCTTTCACCTTGGCAAGGGTTGCATTGCGCGATCTTAATCCAAATTTTGGCTTTGTTTTTCAAAAGTGTTGGGTTACTTAGTGATACTTAGGTTACTTAGGTGTGGTTATGCAAAATCAGAAGCATAATTGTCAGCTTTAAGTTATAACAAAATATATTCCCTGTGCTCATGTTTGTCAAGGTAAGGCCCTGGCCAAGGATCTCATCCAGAAAAACAAAATGCTGTTTGCAGCCATGGTCAAAAGGGTGGGTTTGCACCAGCGGGGTTGGATTTGTTTCCTTCTTGAATGGTATCATGGGCACCGGGCACCAGAATAGAAGAACAAAGGATGGAGTGGTTGAGTTGGGCGTGTGAGGAAGCACGGTTCCTGCCACTGTCTCCAAAATACTGCGCCTGCCACTGTTGAGGGAGGTGTGAGGTGTGCCTTATGAAAAAGATAACAAAGAAGCTAAGAAACCCTAATCCTGTGTACCTCTGTTTTTGAAAAAGGTCCCCTAATAGGACCAAGATGGCCCCAACATGACCTCAAAATGATACAAGGCCCAAAAGAACAAACCATTCATTTTCCCAAAATTGCCCCAACAGGTCCCACATAGGCCCAACATTTCCCCAACCGCACCCCAAAAACATGTGTTCATTTGGGCCTTAGCACGGAAGCCCAAATGAACACGCTGTTCTTGGTTCAACATAAGACCCAAATAGACCCAACGTAGGCCCAACATAAGCCCAACATGGCACCAACATGACCCCAAAAAGACTTGTTCTTTTGGGCCTTGATACAGGGCCCAAAAGAACAAACCATTTATGGCCCAACACAGGCCATAGGCCCATAGGCGCCCAGCATAGGCCCAACAACAGCGTCGCAAGATGGGTAAGCACCAGTGGGGTGTTTTAAACCAAAAGAGACAACACCAAGCAAGACAATCATTTGCCACTAGTCACCCATTAAATGTTTTGTGGGTTTTCTTGTCAATGGTTATGCTTCATTGTTCTTTTTGTTTCTTGCTCCTTTATTGAAACTACTTTTGATGGAAACGGCTGTATGCTTACTTACTTTAAAACCCCCATTTGTGTCTCAATGATTGAATGAAGCAGGGTTGGCTCACTGAATGGTTGACCCATTTGCTGTTAGTGAGTTAGTGGCTGTTAGTGCCACTGAAGTTCTTTGGCACCTACAGAAGATTTCGACAAAAGTCCTCCCAATATCCCAAATTTTACCACCACAACACCAGGAACAACAACAACAACAACAACAACAACAACAAGAGAAAGAACAAAAACAAAAATAACAAGAACATGAACAAGAACAGAAACAAAAACAACAAGAACATTGCAACAAGAACATTGCAACAACAACAACAACAACAACCACAACCACAACCACAACCACAACCACAACCCCCATTCAGCATAGGTTGCCCAACAAATCTTGAAAAAAAACGGCTTCCTCTGTGCTGGTGCCGGACGGTGAACTCCAATCGGCAGAGAAGAGTGGCTTGTAGCCTGAAAAACATTGACCTGCACCGTCTGTTGTAAGATGACAATGGCAGCGCAAGTGGTAAGGACACCATCTGCTGCTTGACCTCAGAGAAACACATGTCCTCAAACTTGTTCTTTGCACACTCCACAGCCCGGTACAGCCGACCATGACCACATGCACTTTCAAGCTCTTGCTCACTAGACCATTGAGCAGAAGCCAAGTGTAGAGAACGATGTAGCAAAGACAGCCCAGGGGTCATAGCCTGTTTCACAATGGTGACATCGTCCCTGGTAAATTCAAAGGATGCAAAGGCTCCAGCCTTCCTCCTGACACCCTTGTTAAACTCAGCCCATGTGCTTTCCGGTTTAGGATCTTCTGTTCGATCTGTTTCTTCAGTTGGGTGACGATCATCCTCGCCAACTAAGGATGAGGAGAATACACCAGCCCACTCTCCCAAACCACTGCCTTCGTCTTCATCATCACCACGCAAGGCATTCCAAATAGTTTGATCAACAGAATTTTTGGAAGCAGGTTCCTTCTTCACATAGCCTGTGTATTTGACCAGAACCTTCTCGGCTAAATTCCAAAAAGAACTCAGCAGTCCATACCAGGAAAATGAAAGGTCCGACCCAACCCAACTCTTTCTTGAAAAGACTGGGCATTTGCCAGGCACCAAGGCAAACACAACGTAAGTGCAAAAGTGTTCGATAGTTTGCGATGGGGACTCACAACAGGAGTGCATACAGTGATGCACTATCGACTCACTTGTGAGATCACTGTTGCAGAAGTAGTTCAAAATCATCCTTCGCCGAACATTCTTCCACCCAGTGCTGCTAGCCTCTGCTTTGCCCCCTTTGTCATGCCATGATTTGATGTGAGTTGGGCAAAACAAGTCTAGAACCTCCTTCCGGTGTTGGGCTGCATGTGGAGGAGGGTCCCCATATACAATCTCTAACTCCTCCAGGAACACACTCCTCAAAACTGACCTCAAGGCTTCAGTAGATCCTGCCCCTGTTTGGGACAAACCTACATTCACAATGCCAGTCACCACTGGGTCAGCCACTGCCAGAGAATGCTTGAGGGCAGAAGCTTTCTTGTGCACCGAGCATGTGTAGAGAGAAAGTATGCTTTCAGGGTTGCTCGATTTCAAAAAGCTCTCGGCTCGCAAGTTGGCAGGGTGCCTGTCAATGACTGGCATGACAATGTTCATGGGAAATTGCTGTTGAAATGCTTCTGTGTGGGGTACACGAGCTTGCTGCAAGATACCAGAGACATTGTTCTCGCCAGTGTTCCTGTCCAGAGGGACAGGAGTTGTAGGAATTTCCACCTTGATCATGAATGGCCTGGATGTGAGCTTGTCAATCACCACAAAACCTTAGTGAAGTGAAGTGCAGTGAATCGAATGGGTTCTGGACTGGGTTGAGTCAAGGTTGTGGGCTTCAATTCTTTAGAAGGTACAAAAATAACAAAGCAAAATGCTTGTACAGCACAAGGCAGAAGTCAAGAAACTGACGCTGCATTCTATCCTCAATATTTTGGAATGCAAGTATGGTTTCTCAGACTCTCGCTCTGGTAGTGATGTTCCAAAGAAATGGTTGTGCTCCCTGACTTTCATTTTCAAAGGTGTTTCGTCATATTTCCTCTTCCAAATCGCTACCACTGGCTCAAACTGTTGGCCTGTTGTGAAGACCCTGGTCCATGCTAGAAAGAAAGCACCTATCAGCAATGTTGCCCCGTAGAGAAGTGTGCACGCATAGTGAATCAGCCCCCGAGTAATGGACCGACGATGAATCCCAGTGAATGACTCAACTGCTGCCACTGATTTCATTGTCTTCGAATGAACATATTCATGTTCCAAATGAAGAACATTCTCGTTTGGGCATGCTCTAGATACCACTCCAGAACAAAAATTTGCAAACATTCCTTTCTGTACCGGACTGGCCAAGTGGAACAAATCGTCTATGGAACCATACATGTGTCTTGAAGGGACTGAAGTGACTGAAGACTCTGGCTGTTGAGATGTTAGTTGAGTTTCTCTGTCTTCAGCCCTGCCAGCAGTAGAGGAGCTGGCCGCCCCCTGCTCAGGCGTTTCTTCTGTCAAGAAATCCCAGTCCCCAAAAATAGTGCCCAAATCACAAGTTTCAGTTTCAGGCTCAGGGTCAGCTGCCATACTATCATCTGCTGTAGTAGTCTCGGGTGCTGCAAGCAGCTCGTCAATAGCACCATCCCACTCGCCCAAGTCCAAATCAATGTCATCCATGGCTGGCTTGATTTGCTCTGAGTCTATTAAACTGACATACTGCTGTGAGAATTGAGGTGAGCATGCAGGTGCCAAAATTGCTAAAAAAACATTCTTTGATATTTGATATGAAATTCGCACTCTTTTCAACATGTCATTTTTCTTTCATTGGAAATAACCCTCCCAGACCCAGCTGATGCTGTGGTCTTGCTTTGGCAACGCTAAAGTAGATATGTGACAGTGGGTGGCAGTGCCTGCTATAGGGCTATACTATTGGCTACAGCGGCTATACCAATGCAAAACACAGGAAGATGATGTTGAAACAAGACTCAATATAGTATAATAAAACTGTTTGGTTCACCAATCAACAGCGAACCAGCCTGGTCAATGAAAAGACCCATGGAAAAAACAACATTCTCCTAGAAATCATCTTCAAGCAGCAAAAGTCACTGAGTGAAGGATCAAGGGTTTAGAGGATGTGGGCACAAGTGATGCAAAACCAAAATTTGAAACATGCTATCAAATACTCCCTGCATCAGTCCATCATCGCCACAAATGTCTAAAACCATTGTGTTTTTTGCTTTTTGGAGCATAACATCATTGCTGTGGTATATTGTTTGATCACCCCTCCAGAAATGATATGTACACGACACCTGAGGTTTGAATGGAATGAAAACTGGCTTTGCAAATATAAGCTGATTAAACACACTAAAATCACTAAAATATGGCACACCTGAGCCCAAGCCCAAGCCCTCATCATCCAGCCTGGGGCGAGAAATCTTCAGCCAGATCTGGGAATCTAGCTCCAGCTTGGCAAACCAGTAGCCACCAAACTTCCATGACTGAGAAGCCATGCTGGCGATGAACCTCAGGGACAAAGGCGATGAAGCCGTTTCTGGTGGAACGCATACCATGACAACACGCAAAAGTACCTTCTCAAACCAATGATGGAATAACAGGACCTACATGGACTTACAATGAAAAAACCATAGAGAATTCAAGTAAGAAGGGGGATGGCGGGAGGCATCCCAATTAGTAAATACATACGAACCCCAGTTTTACATGGAATATCCCCAAATACATATATATATATAGATATATTTATATATCTATAGGTATATTTCTTAAAAAGAATTTAAAACCATTTATCATAATGCACAGCCAAGCATCTATCTGATTCATTTTCGAATGATCTAGGCCCCCTAGGCATTAAATTACACTGCAAACAAAACCAATGAAACTGTTTTATTATAATAGTTATAGTGGTTTCTTTCTTGTGGTGGTAGCAGTGGGCAATGTCACTTCAAGAGACATACAAACATGAAAGACAACCTTGCTCCCAAACACATGCTCCCTAACACAGCACACCATTCAAGTTACCTAGGACCTTTTGGACAACATAGAGCGCCTGTCATACGGCGATGAATCTTCTGAAGTACTGGTGCGCATCTGAAATCCTTTCACTTGTTCGGTAATCCCAATCCGGGGCTCGAATTCCTTGTACATCTCAACAACGCTAGTCTGAGTTGTTCCGTTCATGGAGTGATTGGCCACATCCCCATCAACAAATCTTTTGCATCTCTTTGTGGAATAAGGGTTGCAAGGGCTACCCATAACAGCGAGGCTCACCCCCTGCACTGAAACCTCTCTTGCCAAGGATGATTCAGGGTCCTTGATTTCATGCAACACTGCTTCTACTGAATCATACACATTCGCACGGGACATCGAAGGGTTATTCAGCAGAATAGTCTCTTGGTAGTTCTTGTTCTTCTCAGCCACGGCAAAGCACTTGAAGGGAAGTCCCAAAGCCTCAGCAGTCATGGTAGTGGTAGTGGGTTCTAGGCCTAGGCCCTGTTCATCTGAAACAATCATTGCTGATGTCATGCAGCATGAGGCGGCAGAAGAAAGGAAAGGAAATGACAAGATCTGTAAAATATCACCATAAGCCATAAACATCTTTGTCTACAATAGTCCATCAGTCCATCTGCAAAAAAATGTTGAATCTACTGCTGCATACCTGGGCCCTAGCCCTACCCAATGGGTAAGTGCAAAGTTCCAAATCTACAGACTGTCCCCCTACCAGGTTTCACCATACATATTTTTACCATGCGTTCTATTCTTCTATGTCTATGTCCTTTCTTGTAATGGACCAGAACATGCAAATCAACTAGCTAGCTAACCGCTAAACCGCTAATGGTTGAAAACTGCGAACATCCCTCCCTGCTGGACCCATCATGTCCAGCCCACCACACACTGGAAACCATTTCCCTCTTCCTGTTCCTGCTTGGTTCAAGACATTTCTTGAAATTTCGACTTTTAATGATATGAGTTGGATAAGGAAGTCAATGAAGGAAAACAACCACCAACAAATTCCACGCTGGGGCTTCTTTTCGTTTGAAATGAAGCCCTGAGCTATTAAATGTTTGAGCTCCGTGCTCTAAACTGGACCAGGCTGTAAGCAAGACATTGTCCCTCCTAAGCTGATTCTGGGGATGGGCTCTCCCAGTCAGATGGCGGAGAGTTCAAGCTCCACAATGTTGCGTGTGAGGGGCTGTTCCCCCTAAAGATATTTCTTCTTTCCCTCCTCCTTGCCAAAGTCATAAATGATGACCTTCGGGTCCGGGTTGTTCCACGGTGACCTTCTGGTGATGGCGGTGGTGGGCCCTCAGGCGTGTGAGGTGAAAATGCCAAACCTGCCCTCATCAGAATTTCTGGGGGTGTCTGTGGCAGTGGGACCCGACGATGCAATTCTGGAGGTGTCTGCGGGATCACATCGACATTGTGGGGTTGAGCATGTCTTGGAACTGGAAGCCCTTGGGAAGCCACAAGAAATCGAGCACCCTCAAAAGCCACATCTTCGTCATTCCCATGCGCGTTGGCGTTGGCGTTGTAGGCTTCCACGGCTTCTTCTTCACTGGTAGGAATCCACCACTCACTCTCGTTGTGGGAATCTTGGGGCGAGCCGGGTAAACCTCTTTCTTCCACAATTGTATCCTGGTCCTGCTCATTGTTTCCTTTGGGAGAGACAGCAGTAGTTTCAGTATCAGTAACATCAGTGACAGATCCCGGAGAAGATATGTGGCTTTCTGTGGCCATCATTTTATCTCCAGACATGTCTAGGTCACTGTCCTCGTCGCTGCTGTCCACAGGGATGATAACCGGGTCATCATCACAATCAGAGTCAATGAACATGAGCCATGGCCTGGAGTCATTGACTCTTGGACACTTGGAAATTGCAATGCAAGCCGCTTCACCATCGCCATTTCCATGGATGCCATGGGCTGCACTCCGCTTTGGCATTGCTAGAGTGGAAGAAAATCTAAAATGGGGTGCTCTTGCCAAAACGCTGGAGCATTGCAGTGATGACGAAGGGAAGCAAGTGCACAACCCCAATTGATTTGAAATCTTCTGGAAAGCAACCCCCAACAATTTTTGTTCTAATGATTTTGATTTCAATCTCAATATGTTATTTAATATGATGCATACAACTTTTTAGCACATCTAGGCAGCCCTGGCAAAAAGCAAATCTCACGACTCACTCACACGTGCCCCGCCCACGTCTTCATAGCCAAGAAACCTTGAGCACCTCGCTCTCAGCACAAATTCCACTGCAAGCAGAAAGCATGTAGATAGGCTTGGGCTTGGGGTCGTGTGCTGCTGGTGCTGCTGGTGGTGGGGCATGGAGCCTCATTGCATGGCTCCACCAGTGGGTGCTCTTCGGCGTCCCATTCTGCTCATAGGAACACCGGGTTGCTGCATCCAGCAGTGCTGATTCATCAGCACTGCTACGCAGCAATGCTGCCACCATGGCATCCCACTCAGGCTCCATCCCTCTTAAGTCTTAAGTAGTGTAGTTGTAGTTGTAGTTTTAGTTGTAGTGTAGTCTTGTGACATGTGTTGTGTAGTGCAATGTAGTGGTAGTCGCAGTTGTAGTGTAATGTAATGTAGTTAGTGTAGTGTAGTGTTGTGTAATTTAGTGTAATTATAGTTGCATTTGTAGCTGTAATGTACTGCAGTTTACTTAGTGTATTGTAGCTGCAGCTGCAATCTCAAGGTTGTACTGCATATGGCTAGGAGCATCATCGTTTGGTAATTTGTTTTTCTGTTTCTTCCCTCCACCCTTCTTTCTCCAGACCACGAGCTTGAGATCCAGGAAGAACCACGTGGGCAACATCTCACACATGTGCATTTTGAAATGATCCCAGGAGAAACAGAGATAACAAGTGCATTTTGCAGCTGCAAAAAAGTTGCATTTCTGAATATATCCAGGAACCCCCAGCTTCTGCTAGTTGCATTTCATAAGGCTACCTGCTGCGGAGATGTCTGGGCTCCCTTTGGGTCCTGCGGAGCAGGTTCTTGAGGTGCTTGCATGATCTGCTTTTCTTTGGGTCGTTCCTGCCATCTGGTCGGTTTCGGCGGCGGCGGCGGCTGCAACTTCTTAGCGGGCTGGGAAGGTTTGAGTTTGTCAAGGCGTGACTGAATCTCATTTCGCAATTCAGGTGGATACGCCTCTCCTGTCTCAGAAAGCCACTGTATTGTACGCTCATGCAACCACAAGGTTGTCCTCAGCAACGGGATGGTCTGGTCATCATTAATCCAAAAGAGTGGGGTAGGCGGGAGTAAGGCATGTGCTTCAATGATCAAAGGAAGCAAGAAGGCCAATTTCTTCTGTTCAGCGAACACTGCTGCCCCATTCGGATGGACCTTGAGGTAGGTATCATTCCACACGAAAGGTCTCACAACCCTCACGGTGTGGGCGAAGTCAAAAAAAATGGATAAACGAATTTGAGTATACGGTGCAGCGACTTCATAGGCTTTCCCATCCCAGGGTATCTCCAGGAATCCCCACCGCTCTTTCCTGCTAGGGTTGACCATCTCCCAGAACTCTGGCGTGAACTCTTGCTCGAGGGCATTATTGAGAGTGGAAAAATTGTCCATGATACTTCGTCAATGTGCAAATGATATTCTACCAGCGTGAAGTCATACGTTGTTCGGCAAGCTCCAACCCAGAGTGTGCCACTAACTGCAAGGAAGCGGACATCACTGGCATCTTGCATGTTCCAGTCCATCCCGACCGATATGTCTTTTAATCGTGCATCTTCGACTGCGATTGGGCCAGATGGATACGGTGTTTGTTTAGGCATACCAGCAACAGGTACCCTGCAGTGGTTGCACTAACTCTGACAATTGCGGTGCTTGCGCAGTGCACGGGGCGTGCCGTCAGTGGTAATTGAGTTTCAAGTAGCCAAACGACGGGGACCCCGCGTCGGCACTAGCGCAAAACAGACCAGGCAAAAGAGGTGAACCCTATGCAACACTGGCTTTGCAGGTGCAGGTATCCACCACACAGATTTGAGCCACAGGCTGCTGACAACGTCCGACTACAGAGACTGGGATCAGACAACAGAACACAAGAAACAAGACCTTGGTCCTAGGTTTGGGCAGTTTGTGGAGTTGCGTGTTTCTCCAGGGTAAGGACGTTTGTATCGAGATAAAACCGGGGGGGTGATAAGGGGGCAGGGCCATCAGCTGTGAGTGTGCTCGGGGTAAAATGGGTGTTGTTGGTTGTATGCGTGGGGCAGGCAGGTGTGTGCACAAGTTAATGCCTATTGCTGGGGCTAGGACCGGGTGGGCGTGTGCCCATTAGGCTAGGGTTACGCTAGAGGGACAGCACCGGGGAGTGTTCTCAGCAATTATCTAGATACGTCCTGTTGAGATGGCCTACTATATTGTGAACAGGGGGTGCATTCTTCCAATGGTAAGCCAGCTGAGTGAGATCGCATATGAAAAAATTAAAGGA